TCCTCCTCCTCCTCCTCCTCCTCCTCCCCCTACTCCTCCTCCTCCTCATCCTCCTCCTCATCCTCCCGCCTCCTCCCCCATCTCTGCGGGAGCCACTTTGGCACGTTTACCTCCCTCCCCTCCGTTCCTCATTTCCTCCCTTCTCCTCCCCTCCCAAGCACATCCTCCAAGGAAGCGTTTGCTCAAGTGGTCTCGGCTACTGGGCTGACCCCTTCTCCCCCGACCCCCGCGGGGGAAGAGGGGGGACGGGCGGGTCGGGGCAACAACGGCATGCGCCATGCCCCAGCGCAGCCATTGCGCAGCCTGTTCACAGGCAGCACGAGCGAGAACAGCTGCTCCATCATGGAAGGGTCGTCCTTGAAGCGCTTGAAGATGGCGAAGCAGCTGGCGAAGATCACCCGATGGTTATCGACGGCCCTATTCGTGAAATCAACATTGGTCTTGCACCACTCCTCGAAGAACCCACCCCTTCTGAAACGTCACGTTGGGCTGCAGTGGCTGGGGAGGCCCCCCCCCTGGTGGGGCGCAGCAGAATCGGGGGGGGGCCCTGCCCAAGAATCCCTCCCCAGCCACCACAGCCCCATGATGTTTCGGAATAGGGGTTCGTTGCGATCCCTAGCAGTGCTCTCCTTGAACACATCCCAGTAGGCCACCTCAGCGCCCGACCCGCGCTTGATGACCAGGGCCTTGGCGCCGGCGTAGAACTTGCGGCAATTCTCGTACATCGGGACGGAGTCCCAGCGTGGGTAATCGAACGCGGCCTTGAACATCGCCTTCTTGTTGGCCTCCGTGGCCGTCTGCCCGATGCTGGAATGAGTCCAGCCAAAATCCTCCTTCTGCTTGTCCCACGTCGCCTCGATGACGTCGGTCGACTCGCAAACCTCGACGAAGGTGGTCGACAAGGCTTTGTTGTTCATGGAGTTGCCCAAGGACACCAGCTTCTCGCAGACGTCCCTCGGGGTGTCGAACGGGAACACGGTGACGTCCTGCAAGCCGAGGGCAACGCTGCGCTGGACCTTCGCATTCAACTTCTTCGGGTCACGGTCGAAGGCCCTCTTGACGCCGTCGCACAATGACCCCCAGTGGAGCGTGGTGAAGGTGGCGGCGGGGCCCATGGCGTTATCTTTGGAGCCAGCCCTGACCCACGCACCGCCTCGGAGACCATGAAGCAAGCCTACGGTCTCGATGCTGGCGGCCCTATCCTTCACGAGAAGGAGAAGGAGCAAAGCGATGAAGAGAATAAATAAGGTAATACGGTCAAGGATGGTTGCGTGGCTGCGTTTAGAAGTTCGGCAGGGTCCAGGGTCCTCTATCGTAGCCTCGTCCCCGCGAGAGCTGTTCAAGGGGTCCCTCCAGATGGCCCACTGCCCTGCGCCGTTGATGAACTTGATCGAGGCGCCCTTCGAGATGGGATAGAAGTGAAACAGGATCTCCATGAGCTGCAAGCCCACGAACCCTGGGAAACGGTCCTCGGCACGAGCGAAGCCGTCGCCCCACACTTGGCTGTGCTTGAACTGGCTGAAATCGATGCCCGTAGACGCCACCTCGGTGGCAAAATATTGTTTGGACAACGCCCGACACCCCATAATCTAGCGGCAGCTGCCAAATACGCGTCTATCTCTAGGGGTCCATTTGGCAGCTGCTGCCAAACCTACGTATGTCTCCAGAGGTCGATTTGGCAGGAGCTGCCAAATGCACCCCCCGAGACAGACGTGGCTTTGGCAGCAGCTGCCAAATGGACCCCTCGAGACAGACGTGCATTTGGCAGGAGCTGCCAAATGGACCCCTAGAGACAGACGCCCATTTGGCAGGAGCTGCCAAATGGGCCCCTAGAGACAGACGTGCATTTGGCAGGAGCTGCCAAATGCACCCCTAGAGACAGACCCCCATTTGGCAGGAGCTGCCAAACGGACCCCTAGAGACAGACGTACATTTGGCAGGAGCTGCCAAATGGACCCCTAGAGACATACGTTCATTTGGCAGCAGCTGCCAAATGGACCCTTAAGAGCAGAGGTGGATTTGGCAGCTGCTGCCAAATTTACGTCTGTCTCTAAGAGTCAATTTGGCAGCTGCTGCCAAACGGACCACTAGAGACAGACGTGCATTTGGCAGCTGCTGCCAAATGGACCCCTAGAGACAGACGCCCATTTGGCAGGAGCTGCCAAATGGACCTCCAGAGACAGACGTGCATTTGGCAGGAGCTGCCAAATGCACGTCTGCCTCTAGGGGTCCATTTGGCAGCCACTGCCAAATCTACGACCGTCCCCAGGGGTCGATTTGGCAGGAGCTGCCAAATGGACCCCTAGAGACAGACGTGCATTTGGCAGGACCTGCCAAATGCACCCCTAGAGACAGACCCCCATTTGGCAGGAGCTGCCAAATGGACCCCTTGAAGCCGACGTTCATTTGGCAGGAGCTGCCAAATGGACCCCTAGAGACAGACGTGCATTTGGCAGGAGCTGCCAAATGCACCCCTAGAGACAGACCCCCATTTGGCAGGAGCTGCCAAATGGACCCCTTGAAGCCGACGTTCATTTGGCAGGAGCTGCCAAATGGACCCCTAGAGACAGACGTGCATTTGGCAGCTCCTGCCAAATGCACGTCTGTCGCTAGAGGTCCATTTGGCAGCTCCTGCCAAATGAACGTATGTCTCTAGGGGTCCATTTGGCAGCTCCTGCCAAATGCACGTATGTCTCTAGGGGTCCATTTGGCAGCTCCTGCCAAATGGACGTCTGTCTCTAGGGGCCCATTTGGCAGCTCCTGTCAAATGGACGTTTGTTTCGAAGGGTCCATTTGGCAGCAGCTGTCAAATGGACCCTTGGAGCAACTGCAATAGCTGGCAGCAGCTGCCACACGAGCATATATCGACAGACGTGTATCTGGTACAATTCAAATAAAAATGTCACGCTGTGCAGTTAAATTCACAAACAACTCAAACAAAACACACACAATACTACAGTTCAGTGTCCTGCAAATATGTGTTGTGTTGTTTTTTTTTTCGAATCAAGAACAGAAATGGAAATGCGAGAGCACGCAAGCCCGATCCGAATCCCCAAGACCTGCGCATCGCCGCCGCCCAGCGCAGCAGCGGGCGCCGAAGGCGCGGGTGCCGCGGCACACGCCATCGGCAGGTCCAGGAAGTCGCGAACGCCTGCGCCGACAGCAGGGGCGAGAAAGAGAGAGCTCGACCCCATTCCCATGCCCCCTGCCCCTCCCAATCGTTTAGGTACGCTGATGTGGGACGCATCCCCGAACCTGTGCGATCATTAGACACAGCCTGCTGCGCAAGCAAAAACCTGACTTACCCCATCGGGATTGGAGGGGGGAAGGGAAGGACGCCTAAGAGCGAGGAGCAGGACCATGAGGAGGAGGAGGGGGATGCGGGGGAGGGGGATGAGGCATCATCTGGAGGGATGGGGAGGACTGAGGGGAAGGGGAAGGAGAAGGAATAGAGGGACTAGGAGGAGGGATGATGATGATAATGATGTTGGTGATGAAGATGATGCTGATGCTGCTGATCATGATGATGATGATGATGATGATGGTGATGATGATGATGGTGATGGTGATGGTGACGTTGATGGTGATGGTGATGGTGATGATGATGCTGTTGATGACGATGGTGATGATGATGCTGTTGTCTTTCAGCGCGTGCGGCCCCAAGCCTCAACCTGCTGCGTATGCTGATTCGCAGGCTGGGCACATCCAAGGGGCCATCATAAACTTGTCGCAGTCCACGCCCCATTTGGGCGCGGCCCATCGTGAGCAAGATGGGTGCCACAACAAACAACAGCTGGAACACGTGTAGCTGTCATCAAGTAAAGGGCACCCATCCACTTTGACCGCCCCGCACAAAACGCATGGGGACTGGTCGTCCTGGACCACTACGGGTCCGCTACAAAGAATTCGCTTCGCACGCGTTGCGAAGGCACAAACACCACTCTGGCATTGGCCCTCCCCCCTTGGCAGTCGTTTTCCACATGGTAACTGGCACCTTGCCAATCAGGATTTTGCAACCTGCGTAGCTCTCCTCGGGGACGCCAAGACCGCCAGGACGGGCGCCTCTCCTGGCAGGCACCAGCCATTTTACTCGGCCCAACTTGTCCAAGCTAACAGGCCGCCCATCTCTGTTTTTCGCATTACTCCATTTCACGAAGAGCACCCTGGTCTCATCACCAACCTCCGAACTGATCAAAGAGATCGTGCCATCTGCCAGCTCGCCTGAGCTATGCGTGTCGGCTGCTACGTTAGCTTCACCGACTGCGTGGAAGCCTGCTCTGCAACTGTCCATGCAAGCACGCAGCACGTTCAAGCGGTCCGCCTCGCCAAGTGCATCAATGGGGTGCACTGGCGCCAGCGCGACCACTGGAGGCGCGAGCCTAACTCCTGAAGCTGCGCATGCTGGTGATCCTAATTCAGGTGGCTCTAGGTGCTCAGGATCAGAGTCCGACTCGTCGTCGGCGTCATCCCCATCATCCCCATCTGAGCTCGACGGGGGTCCGTCGCGCGGCTCCCTGCTGTCATCGATGCCAGCACCGTCAGCTTCCAGAAGCTTCTCAAGTTCATCTTGCAAGTCAACAATGTCGATCTCTCCCTCTGGCTCATCCGCTATAGCGCCGTCTGCAGGCCCAGCCTCATCCCTGAATCTCTTTCTGCTGATTATCTTCTTCAATCGGAATTTGTGAATGGACATGTCGTGAACTCTGGCAATTGCAGATGTGCGCGATATCCAAACCAATGGGTACTTGAGGACACAAACATCAGCAGCAGTACGTCGATCGATATCTTGTATGATGCTCGCTACCACATCCAGAACTCGCTCTATAACCAAGGGCTCCGATAGATAAAACATTATAGTACCATTGTGTGCTTGAATGTCGCCACAAACTGAATACAGTGCACTGCGGAACCCATGTGCCCAAAGGTATGCCGACCCTCCGTGGTCCACTTCAGCCAGGTCTTCGCAATTAACCAGCAGCTTCATCGCGGCGCCAGCACCGATACCAAATTCAGTCTTCACAGAGCGAGCAATAAACCCAGCACGCAGCAGTGGCAACGTGTACGTCGTTGGTCGCTCTTTCGCAGGATCAGCATGCTCTACAATGTGAAGTGGCGCGAACCTTGTATTGCACGTGGGTGTGTTCTCGTATGCAAGTACCTGATGATGCAACACGACGCAGTCTGGAGGAGTCGGGCGTTCACCTTTTTTGAGAGACAGTCTAGCGTTCGCGAGTGGCTGCAACATGGCAGGCGCACGCTTCGCCATACACTGTAGAATATTATGGGTTCCTTCCACTTCTTGCGTATGCCCAGGCCACTGCGATCTCAACGCGATAAGAGAATTGTACATCACGCACGTGCAGCGCCCATCCTTTGCCATAAGAACCAAATCTTCGTAGAAGAGCGAGCGAAGTTTCCAAGCCATGTCCGAGTGCACGCTGGCGAGATCGTGGCGCTCTTTGCCAAGCCACTCCAACGCCAACTCTTTCCGACGATCGCACATATCATCTGGTGGAGTAGTGAGCATGTGAAAAATCTTGTATGGCCATTCATCAACGACGTCCATGACCCGAACTTTCCATTGAGCAGCACCTTGGATAACAATTGATACAAACAACTCAAGACCAGCACTGTGAAGCCTCTCGCACTCTGCACGTAGCGTGTCCAGTGCGCCTGATAGTAGTGGTAAATCTGCAGTCAGCAACCCAGAGTATTTCTCGTTAAAATAGTCGGCCTTCTCCGAAACAAGCAACGACATGACAGTTGGACCAGGGTGTACAGAGGATGGGCTGCGCTCTCGGGAGTCATTTTCCTGTTTGGTAATTTTTTGCGACCAGTAGAACGCCTCCATCACTGCTTGTTTGGCACAATAAGAAATCGCGATCATGGCTCCGAAAACCTGCGCCTCACACAACTCACGCGCACTGCGGCGCCACCTGCCCATTTTCACCTCAGATCTCGGGGTGGCGGTGCAATGAGGGGGGTCTTCGGTGCGAACCTTGCATTGGGAGAGGGCGGGATGAGGAGGATGGGGATGGGCAAGAGGGAGAAGGAGGAGGACAGAGAAGGGCGGGAGGAGGAGGGGGGGGAGGAGGACGAAGACGAGGAGGAGGGGAAGGAGGGGGCAAATTGAAAAGAAAGAGAAACCTGCACTTTCTATTTACACATTGAGGAGGAGGAGGATGAAGAGGAGAAAGAGTAGGGGGATGAGCATTTGGACGCACACCACGTTGGATGTTTACGTACGGTGGCATCTACGTGTAGAAGGGGAACAGGGATCTAAAGGGGGCGGGGCTTCGTGGGGCGACCTCCCGTGACGATCACCCGATAGCCCTAGCTTGTTTTGTTGTTTGAAATGTTGGAGTGTGTGTCCGTGGCCTAAGCTACTAGCTACAAGGTTCACACCGCCCCCCTCTGGCACGCATGCATCCCCCCACCTGGTAGTGACCATCTTCGTCATCAGGGTCAAGGACTTTATCCTCGGGATGTGTTCTCAACCAGCCCTCCGCAGTTTTACGTCCCACATCCCCCTCTGTTTGGTTTGTCGCCTCCCCCCCCGCTCGTCCCCCCTCTTCCACCCTCCCCCCTCCCATCACCCTCATATCCTATATCCCCCTTTACGTCCCCCTCACCGCTCTCATGGTCCTGCCCCTTCCCGTGTTGTTTTGTGTGCTAGGGCAGATTGAGAACACAGGCTGCCTCGTCGACAATCTTGGCGCCCTTGAGCACCTTCGCAAACACGCTGGCGATGTGCACCCAGTCGTGGACGAGCATCTTCTCGACCGCGTCGACGCTGCACCACCGACCAGATATACAACGCCCAGGCAAAATCTTGAAGATCCGATGCGCCAGCACAGGGTTGAACAGCTTCGTAGCAGCAGCTTTGAGCTTCCTGTGCATACCAGGTGCCCTCCACGTGTTGACCAGAGTCTTGAGAGCACTCGTGTATTTGACTGGAAGCTCATACCCAGGCCATGTGAAGCTGTCTGCGAACTCTAGATTCTTCTCAACAATTTTGTGGTAACTGTGCAACGAGCACCACTGCACATGTACAATCACATTCGGCACACTCTGCATTTCAGCCACTACCAGCCGCCCAAACTTCTGGCAATCGGGCCCTTTGTCCAAACCGAACATAAAGGAGCTAATTGTGTTCTCTTTCCGACAACGCCAATCTGGACAATATACGGAAGCAAACTCTCGCAAAGCCAATGCGAGCAGCTCGTCGCCAGTGCCAGTTCTCACACACTGTATATCAGCCAATGAGCGGGTGCACAAGTACTCTGCGGTCCCAGTGCACACGAGTGCGTTGGAAGATGCAGACAGGCACGACACCAACGCGATATGCATATTCTCCTTTTGAATAGCCGATTGACTAGTTGCGTCTGCAAGGCATTGAATCACTTCGATGTTGAAAGGGGGCGGCGTGCCCGAAGTGCGCAGGCAAGTTTTGAATTCTACTGCAATGGCTTGATAGTGCTGGGAACTCAACAATCGCTGGACGTGGTTGCAACGATGTTCAAACTTAATTGAGATATTCTTATCCCTGAGCCCCCCGCGCTCTGGATCACCAGACAGAACTGCCACTATCGCTTTCGATGACGCGTGCCCAATGTTTCGCTTCAGCGCGATCGAATACCCACCAAATACACTGACATTCCTTTTCCCTGGCCTCATAAAAATTTGTTCGTTGAGTGATTTGATCTGGAGCTCATGGCCCTTCAAAACGTGCGACAAATTCTCTGATTTCTGCTTGTAGTAATTCCGACTGGCGCTTATATTGTGGCAATCGTCTCTCAACCGAGCTATCCCTATATCTTTGTCCAGAAGCGCCAACTGAAGCTCATCTCTTGGTTTGTCTCCATATTTGTCAGAGAGGCATTCGGCGATGCTGGTCTCGAGCCTGCATTGGCCATGCCCGTCCTGGACAGCTGGAACGATGCAGGCGACTGCGACACCGTCGTCTGCATCAACGAGCCGACGGCGAACCATGTCTATGTGTTCTCGCCCGAGCTGCGTGGCGCACGTTGCGTTCAGACATTTGTGTAGTAGTTCCAGGGGGACTTGATTCGAAGACCCGCTGCCGAAGAACCCAAGTGCAGAGCGGATCGCCTGCCTCATTCTAGAATGCTCACGCCGCCGTTCTGCGCC